GCAGCAAGAAACGGCGAAGCGACAGGGACACTGAAGAGAACGGGCGCGATAGAGACCGTGATCGAGAAAAAGAGCGGGATAGGGATAGAGATAGGGAGAGGAGTTCCAGACATCGGAGTCGAGAGAGGGATTCGGAGAGGGAAAGAGATAGAGAGAGGCGGGGCTCGAGGGACCGAGACCGGGATAGGGAGAAGCGAGAGAAAGATAGGGAGAGGGACAGGGACAAAGACAAAGATAGGGAGAGGAGAGATAGAGATAGAGAAAGGGAGAAGGAGAAAGAGCGGGAAAGGAGAGAAAGGGAGAAGGAACGGGAGCACGAGAGGGAAAGGGAGAGATCGAGGAGGAGTAGGAGTCGATCGAGGCTGAATCGTGAAAAGGAGATGGAGTTGATGCGGGAAAGGGAGCGAGACCTTGAATTGCGTGAGAGCAGGTGATGCCAAACACCTTTTCTTTTATCGGTGTTTAACCCATCTTTCTCAATATAATTGCTGTTTTCTAGTTTTTTTTTTTTAATATTTGATTTGCTTTCAAATTTGTGGACTTTCAAAGTTTGGCTGGTTTGGTAGTTTTCACTTGGAACTTGCGAGTTATTCTTTTCAGCTGTAGTTAAGGATTATTTAATCTGTTGGAACCAACTTTCATATTGCACGGTGTTGTATTGTCAGTGTCATATTTCAAGGAATTGGTGAAATAAAGTGTCTTCCTGATGCAATGCCTTTAGTTTGCTGTTTATGTTGCTCTTCCTTTTTGTTTCCTCGAATTTGGTCAGTAATAAGATGGAAGCTTCAATTTTGTATTTGCAGTTGCTGTTTTGACTTGAACTCCATTCTACATATCTCTCGTTTCATTTCTTGATACATCATCCACACAGTTGCCTTTAAGAAATTTGCATTCATATCATAATATTTAAATAATTAAGAATGTTTGTTTTGTTGCTTCAATTCACAACCATTTAGAACTGCTGGTAACTGAATTTAATTTGTTAGATTAAGCATGCTCTGCTGTATATATTTTTTCCTTCAGCGACTGTCAGCGGTTTTCAAAGGCACAATTAAGTAAATGATCTCTTTACATTTCAGTTAAATATTATTTTCTTCTGTAGCCCTTACTGTGGGATTGAAACATGAAGGAAATGTATAAAATGGTCTGACTGCAGAAAAAAGTGTGAGTTTATGGGTAGAGGATATAATATTCTAACTTGGATTGAAATCGTAGATGGATTGTTTGCACATCTTAATGGGCTAACAATGCGGAAACCCCTCGAAGGCTTCTTCATTGAAGAAAATGGCTTTTCCACATATTGAATTTGATAAGGTCTGTTGAGTTTCTTTATTTGGGCTTTTAGATTTGGCGTACTCTTTGCATAGCTGGATTTAAGGTTACTTTCTTACCTATGAGCTGAGATGTTGACCACTGGTGTGTTGAATTTTTAGGTCTGCAACGCCTGTGGTGAAGCTGTATCAGTTTTCAACATTTTCTTCACTTCGCAGACGAAAATGCTTTAGCTCCATATATGTGGCCTTCCTTTGCTCTGAACAGGGATTATAATTAGCAAATTTCACTATTTGGAGTTGACTGAAATATTAAAAAATGTGCATAGATTAAATGTAAATTTTGGAACTCAATGGTACATTTGATTGTGGATAATGCTTCATGAATTTAAGGAGAAAACTTGTAGACTTCCCGTTCTTTTTAGATATGATATGATGGAAAGATTGGTTTCTCAAAATTGTTCCCTGGCTGCAAAATTGAGCAAGACTGGAGATTTTTACCAACATTTCTTTTCAATGTATAAATGATCTGAGTTATCTTTTCTGTTCAACAGTTCTCTTCACTGTTCTTATCGTTATATTTTTGCCATTGTACAAATGTCTCAAGCTGGACATGGCAAAATGATTAGATCATTATCTCCTTTAAGGCTCGTGATATAATCTATTTATGACTTATGGAAAAATTATCTACTATGTTGGATTTCTTGTTACTTTGTGTAAAAACCTGTTTTCTGGTCTAGTTTTTAGCCATGTAAAGTGGAATTCGCTCACAGGATGGTTGCCAACTTTGAGTGTGTGGGGCTGGAAATACATAACTTTGGGGGAGAATATGACCAATCGTTTGGGATTATGTTCTTACAACAACTTCCAGAATGCGTACAAAGGCTTCATATATCTTAATGTTGATGTGTTCCTACTATTGGATTTATACTCATTTTTTTTTCTGAGCCGGTAATGCAGGAGATTTAAGGAAATGAAAGAAGCAGTAGAGCCCGAAGCTGATCCAGAGAGGGATCAAAGAACTGTTTTTGCATACCAGGTCTGGCACCCTTAGCTTACATCTGGAATAATCAATTGTTTTAAAATCAGCTCAATAAGTATTGATTTCCTATTTTTTCTTGTTATGCAGATGCCACTTAAGGCCACTGAGAGAGATGTTTATGAGTTCTTTTCACAAGCAGGAAAGGTATGTGGGGATTTTGATATCATTGAAGTGTTCAAAATGCTGCATTTTCTTTATTGTTTGCAAGTGAATAATCATTTGGAGGCATATAATCAGTGTATTACTGTAGCATGCATATTCTGCTGTACAGAATTTACTGATTATTATTAATTGTTATTGTAAGTTGTCACTTTTTCGATTATAGTTCTCTTAAAATGCTCTCTTTCCTAAAGGCACCTTTGCTTCAGTTACAATTAGTGTAAATGCTTTCTTGAGTATTTACGTTCTACATGCATACACGTCCTTCCTATTGTTGTAGAATGCATATTCTGCTGTACAAAATTTACTGATTGTTATTAATAGATATTGTTGTGAGTTGTCACTTTTTTAATTATAGCTTTCTTACAAAAATGCATCTCCTTTGTTTTGTTGTATTTGCACATCTGCTTCAGTTACAATTAGTGTAAATGCTTCTCATGTATCAACATTCTACATGTATGCGCTGTGTAGAAATTGTTTGAATGGGTTCACTCGCTATCCCGTGGCACCCTTGGCACATGTTGAATAGTAGTTGGAGGCATGGGATGGTTCTGAATTCTTTTCTCCTGCAACTTTATTATTTAGTGTGTGTTTGGTGGGGATTAAAATTAGATTTTTAGTAGATTGTGATAGAAATTTTTGAAATGTGTGGTTGAGAAACTATGGCACCCATGAAATATGTGGTTAATATTGATTGTTTGACTTTGATTAAAATCTGATTTTAATCCGAAACAAACAGGGCTTATCGACTTTGTATTTTCCCCTTTTCCATATCCAGGTAAGAGACGTACGACTAATTATGGATCGGAACTCAAGGAGATCAAAAGGGGTTGGGTATGTAATTTATGCTTATATCAGATGTATCAATTTTCTATTCCCTACTTTAAAAAATGTCAATGTATCAATGTTTCATCGTTGCATTGGGACACAAGAATATGCTCTAAGTTTGATAATACTTTCTTCACCGTTACTGCTGCTCATTCTCTTGACTACAAGCAGCATTCCTCTGTTACTTTGCTGCTGTGCTGAATATAATTTCTATTTATTGATGCATGTATACAGCGTGGTGTAACACTGTACTCAGATTTTCTTCCTTTAGCACGTTGTAACCTGAAGATGGTGAGAGGAAATTAACTTTTCATTGGATCTTTGTCGGGTTTTGTTTAATTTGTATACTTTGTAGAAGTGTAATTGTGGACGTGATGTGAGGTCTTAACTGAAGATTGAACGTGGAGAGTTTGATCTTCATTAGAAGTTACTATACAACCTTCATTATTCGATTGATTCTTGGACTTTAAGGTCATCAGATATGTATTTATAAGATATTTGGGCCTCTCACCATTCTACTTCGTTTCCATACCTACCTTTCTAAATGATGGCTTGATTTGCGGGTCATAGTAAAGTATCCAAATTAGTTGAAAGGCTTTCTAGCTTTGTTGCATTCTAACATGTGTTGGGCTTGGTTTGGTGGTGAGTGGTGACTCCGCCAAGTGTATCTAGTTTCCAAATCGGTCAAGCAAGCAACTAATTTGATATTTTACTATGGACAATAAATTCGAAATATAGGCTACTAATTAAATTATATAGCAGGAAATACAACCAACATAGTTTATAAAGCTTGCACAAAGTTCAATAAAGGAAAGTCAATTGGCAATTTTCAGGCATTGACCTGTTCATGCTTTTTGACTAAGATTTTATCGCTTTTTTATCCAGAGCAGTGTTATACAAACTCATGTGCTACCATAGTGCCTTATAGCTCGCATTGTGCCTGCCCTTGTCAACAGGTATATTGAATTTTATGATGCTATGTCTGTGCCTATGGCTATAGCCCTGTCTGGTCACCTACTTCTCGGACAACCAGTAATGGTTAAACCTTCGGAAGCTGAAAAAAATCTTGTCCAATCGAATACTTCTGCTGGTGGTTCAGGTGTTGTGGGACCTTATGGTGCAACCGATAGGAAGTTGTATGTGGGCAATTTACACTTCAATATGACAGAATTTCAGCTTAAACAGGTATATGGTTTGGTATTGTCATTCGTTTTCACGCCTTTCACTTCTGCTGTTAATTACTCCAAATTTAACAAGAAGACTTATCTGAAGGTTTGGAAATGACACATTTGTCGACCATAATATATATTCTGCATCTTTGGCATCTAAAATTAAAGGCCAAAACGTGAAGAGGATGAGCCTTGCAGAAACTATTTCTCTCTCCTTTCTATCTGTTTCTTGTTAAAATTGTCTGTCCCTGTTGAGTGTCTCAGTGCTGGTTGTACTGAAGTAGTTTTCTGCCTTCTCAACTTTCAATCGAATGACTTTGATAGCTTCAGCTAAGCTGAGCTAGGAGTTTTTCTCTCTCTTAAACTCAAACTTTGAATTGGGAATATTTTTGGAGAAGACTATTATACTATTAGAGTAGTGTACATCAAAACCTTATGATATCTATTTATTGTTTCTTAACATTTACATTTTATTTTCCAAAGTAGGGTACACTTGAATACTCATTATGGGTGGAGATTATTTGTGATGGGGTGACTAGAGTTAAAAATGTTGCTCAGTGTTAAATCCCAATTGAACTGCCTTAAGGCCCACCTTGGTGAGGTGTGAAAAGAAGGCCTCAAGAAGCTGATTGTGAGGCAATTTTTTGAGGCCTGTGCCTCATTTACGTGAGGCACATGCCTCACAGCACTGCCCCAAGGCTCGTGTCTCACAAAACATGAAAAATCTTGTTGACCCATTTTGAGAATAACCGGTACTCACTAAAATTATTTAAAAAATTGTGCTCCTCATAGACCCACTTTCTGAATAGTCTCCTGTCCTGACCAACTAAAGTAATAGTTTGTAGATTTTTCTTTTGTTTGTTTGCACACTTTGAAGATTGCTTACAATGTATCATTAGCCTGTTTTGCATTTTAATAAATTTTTGACATTTTTTTTGGTTTATTATGAGGCAAATGCCTTGTTTCACTAATCTTTAAGTAATTTCGCCGCTAGTCTGCTGTTTGTGAAAATCTCTTATCTGGGAACCTATCATTTGCTTGTTTATGACTATTATTTACAAGTTTCCATTATTAAACTTAGCGTTGATTTATCATTTGAGTTATATCTCTCTCTTGATGTTTATACTTCTTTCTAGATTTTTGAAGCATTTGGGCCTGTTGAGCTTGTGCAACTACCCACGGATCCAGAGACAGGACATTGCAAAGGTTTTGGGTTTGTTCAGGTCAGTATTTCGTGGAAGTTAATCGTGTTGAAAAGTGTTTTGCAATATCTAGGAGTTTTGATTTTGTATCTTGTGCTTTAACATGAATTTTATTGATTCAATATCATTGCAGTTTGCACAACTCGAACATGCGAAAGCAGCACAAAGTTTGAATGGGAAATTAGAAATTGCTGGTCGGACAATCAAGGTATTAGGTTCATATCACTTTAACTTTCCTTGTTGATACCGTGGATATGCACATGTTCTTTACATATCCGTTGCAGTGTACCCTCTTTCCCTCTCATATCTCCACGGGCAATTTCGTTTGGCATTTTGTTTCCTGACTCGCCTCTCTGAATTGAATTCAATACAGGTTTCATCTGTTACTGATCATGTTGGAGTTCCAGATGCAGGAACAAAAACTGCAGATTTTGATGATGATGATGGTGGTGGTTTGGTGAGTTAAATTTTCATAAAATTGAATTTTGGCATTAATTAATTGATCATATTGTTGTGAAGATGTGGTTCATTTATGGTTTCTAAATTGTTATGAAAGTCCTGTTATAATACTGCAAGCTGACAGTATAGTTATGCTTTCGAATCCTGATTTCTGCTTTGCTTAAGTAGTTAAGAAATATAAATTTTGTAACTGAAGTTGCTTGATGAGCAGCTGCATTACTTTTATCTTCCATGTTTTTATGTTGGATATGGAAGTCAGCATAGATTGACTGTGTAACTGAAACATTCTAAGGCTATTCACCGGGGAGAACGGAACGACTCTATGATTCGCAGGATGAGAACTAGAGTGCAGTCAGTCTGTCAAAATGTGGTAACCTTCGGATAGGGCGTTTTTAGATGACATTGATTTTGGCATTAATGTGATTTTGCAAAATCATATATAGCCCCTGTTTGGCAGGATCGTAGGGATCCAAATCAGATTTTTAGTAGATTTCATTAAAAGTTGATGAAATGTGTAGTTGGAAAGTTGTGGGACCCATAAAATGTGGTTGAAATGAATTGTTGATTTTGACTTAAGACTAAAATCTAAATTTTCATCAGCACCAAACATGGGCATAACTATATGACCATTCTTGAAAGATGATGATTTTTTCAGTATAACAAGTAGATCATGAAATTATAAGAACCTATTGCCACCCTAGACAGATGTCTTCTACTTGAGTAAGGTTGTTGGAAGTACCTTTCATTGTATCTGGTGGAATAGATCGTATAAGTTGAAGTGCTATTGGTCATTTCTTAAGCTGTCCAGCACTGTTCAAAAACGTGCATGTTTGCGTGCTCTTCTGGTTTGGTATTTGGCTTTCTGTTGGTGTCATATACAACCCTTTATTGTTGGGGAACTTTAGTGCATATGATGAATAACATGGAAAACTGTTCATTTTAAATTTAAGGCTTGCCGTTCTTACTTTCTAGTGGTGCTAGGGTTGTAAACGAGGCTCCATTATTGTATTTGCACAACGATTTGTGTCCAAACTTAGGACTTGCATGGAAAAATCCTTTTTTTAAAATTAAATGACGTGGAGATAATTGTCTGCAAAAACCATATAAGATGACCATGTGAAAGCTGGAGCTTGGGGGCATACAATCCCTGATTTTTCATTGTTACGTCTTTTATACGCTCCGGAAATCCTAGATACAGAAGCCCAAAAATAAGTGCTGAGTATCATGGTTGTATGATTTCCACAGGCTTTGAATGCTCAGTCAAGAGCTTTGCTTATGCAGAGGCTGGATCGCAGTGGTATCGCTTCAAGGTTTGTACATGGGATTAAATTGTATTCATTTTTTACCTTTTTTCTTAACTTTCTACTCTGGCTTGATTATCCATGTTTTTTTAGTGTCGTGGGGCCCCTTGGAGGAGTGTCTGGGCTCAATGGATCAGCTTCATCACAACAAGCAATGAACTTGCCCCTGAATCCTACGACAGTGCTTCCGACTCCAGTTCTTCCAGCCCAGGTTGTTTCTATGGCCCCAGAACCTATTGGGAACCCCAGCGAGTGTTTACTATTGAAGAATATGTTTGATCCAACCACTGAGGTTAGTGTTAGTTATCTGTTGTAAATGCATACAATTGGAGGAATGTTTTGTTTACATTTTTCTGTTTATGCTTGCTTACAACATGGCAGACGGATCCGGAGTTTGATCTGGACATTAGAGATGACGTGCATGAAGAATGTTCCAAGTATGGGCGAGTAAAACATATATTTGTGGACAAGTAAGTTTGCATATAATATTTGTCTGTTTTTATTTGCATGTTATATAAAGATACTGTGATACCTTGAGAGCATGATAATTTTGAATACACAACCACACTGGAAAGTGAGTTCTCTCCTCGAAAGGGAAAACTGAAATCCCATCCCCATCATTGGTATTTTGTCAAGTTTATGCTTATATTTGTCGTATAATCAATTGTGCCTATTGGCTATGACAGGAAAAAGAACACCCCCCAAAATCTCGTACCTTGGTGAACAACTGGATGTTGTCTAATAATACTCTTACTTGCAGGAATAGTGCTGGTTATGTATACTTGAGGTTTGAAAGTGTGGAAGCAGCATCACGTGCTCAACAAGCAATGCATAAAAGATGGTTTGCTCGTAGATTGATCTCAGCCATATTCTTGGTAAT